GCAACGCAAGCAAAAGCGAGCAAGAGAATCTTGATAGGAGCCTTGCGCATGTAGGGGTTGAACATGAACTCGTGAGCAAGGAGCTCAACCAGACCAGTGTACATGAGGATACCAGCGCTGATAGCGTCGAAGATACCGTTGACAAGTTTTTGGTCGTTGGCGTTGTTGGGCTTGGCTCCTATACCAGCGGCAATACCAACGGGAGTCGACAGGGCAAAGATGAGACCGAGCAAGTAGGGCATCCACTGTCGGTTTTTGGGCCAAGGAGCAACAGCTAGGCGCGAACCAAGACCGAGACCCTCGAACATCTGGTGGAAAACAAGGACGATCAGAAGCACAGTAAGCTCGTCAGAGGCAATGGTGCCAAGAGTGAGACCGATGAAGATACTGTGGAACACAACTCCGAATTCGAGAATGAAGATGGCGAGGAGCTGGCCAGCGAGACCGCCCTGGGCATCGCCTTCCTTGTGTTCACGGCCGTGCGCGAGGTGGCTGTCGCCCCCAGGAGCGTAGCCAGAATCATGCTGGTCACCGTTCTCGATATCAGGGTGGGTGTGGTGCTTCTTGACAATGTCCATAGCAGGGTCAAGTTCGTGGTCACCGTCCAATGAGTGGTTGTGCTCCATATCGGCGTTGCTGAGACGAGCGGCGAGCATTTCGATAAAGAACATGACAATGACAGTCATAAGCGCAATGGCCTCGGCCCAATCGTAGCCGCCCAGTCGGTCCTGTAAGCACTCGTCGGTGAGGTTCTCGACAGCGGGAACCAGAAGGTGCATAAAGGCTGTCGCTATAATAACTCCGGTACCGATAAACTTGAGGATGAAGAAGGTGAACTTGGGCACCGGGATGGTCTTCTGGCGCGCGAGGAAGATGGGCAGAAGAGCGCCGATAGCTGAAGATGCCATGATGATAAAGATGGCACCAACTCGAAGACCTCTGCGGCCGAGATCGACGGCTTCGCCATTACACTCCGCTGCGTCGGCCATTTTGTCGATTGTGAAGAGTCGAAGAGAACAGTACGAGCTGTCGAGGATGAAGGGAGAAGACCAACTCTTATGTATGAAGTGGACGACCCAGAAAAGATGCGCAGATCGCTCAGGTAGTAGGTTGAGGTGAGGTAGTAGTCAGGAATGATGTCGTCAAATGCCAAGACGCAGAGGCTGCTCTAGCCAAGGATTATTTCGATGGTGTCCCCCAAAAAGGAAGCGACCAAGGTAATCGCGCTGTGTGATTTGAATGCAACCGCCAAGACGCACGCTAGTATTCGCTGTGAAATATTTTTGCTAGGCCTGCAGCTGAATGTATGTGATGAGGAAAAGCTGAATAGACCTGCGAGTTCCGGTGAGTTTTTATATACCTATTCACACGAAAAGTGTTGCGTGATGCGTAGAGAAACAATATTTCAAGAGTCTCGCGAAAAAAAGCACCGATGAACCTTGATGGACACAGACTCGACTTATAGAAAGTGGGCAAAAGCGGGTGCCGTTCAACCCGCTCAGCTAAACTGTAGCCTGTCTGGGCTTTTGGTAGCACTGTCAGGGCCCAGGGGACGGAAGCGAGGTGCCGAAAGATGCGTCAATTAGATTTTACTCGAGCCGCAAGCGTGGGGTGGTTTGAACGTTCAAGGACCGGGGGGGGTAAGATAGGTCGTAGATGGACGTGTTGTAAATGGCCAGAGGGGGATTCGGTGGTGATGAGTGTTTGATATGACTGAGACAAGGGCTCTGAATGACACTTGATCGTTGCATTGGATTCATTACTCAGGTGTACGCAGTGCATCAATTGTACTATCCTCTGCTGCTGGATGAGGTTGGAAAACAGGAAACATCTTGAAAACATCCAGCACATGTACGCAGATAAAGAATGGAACTTGCTATCCAAATTCTCGGCCATATTTTAACTTAAACTCTAAAATTGCAAATCATGTAACTCACTATTCTCTTACTCTCATTCCATTCCAATATCAACTGTTCCAGTCATACTTCCATGCATACTCACGTCCCATGGCCTTGGAACTCGGCACCTGTCACAGCCCTTGGCATCACCATCCTGGTCCGCGGTGACCAACGGGTGTGACTTGAGAGATAATAGCACATTCTCATCTAAACCGTGAGTACGCGACCACGAAAAGAGCAGCAGCAGAACGTGGTGGTTAGTTCCTCTGAAGTGGGAGTGGGTCAAATTAAGGTGAGAACCTTGATGGCCATGTTAGCCTCATTCAGGCGGCTAGTACCGTTTTGGTAGTGAAGTCACTCGGTTGTGGCTTACATGTGTGGCGTCACCTCAAAAATCGTTCTCTATTATCAATCTTCGATAATTCTATTGGTTCGCCTACATAGACAGCCACACCTGGATTTCCTGGAGGCCATCAGGGTTCTCATACAACATGGGTATTATGCATGTTCATGGCTTGAAGCCCAAAACTGTTTCTCAAACGCCAAAAAGCCACTCAGTCGGCTGTGACGGCATCTTCAGACCCTTCAGCTCATGACTGCATGTGGGATGGAATCAATAATACATCAATACCAAGTTGCATCACAAGCGAACCAACTTCACAAGTAGATACTGAACAACCCATTGATAAAGACATTGACACATGGATAATAGTGAGGTGCCTGGCAGCTCTCGTGATTAGTTACAAATATATGCCTACTCGAATCAACAACACGCTAATTCTATAACGCCAATGTATGCACCGTGATCGTACAATTCCCCTTAACAGTAATAACTCTGACGTCCATCCACGTCGCTATTTCCGTTGGCATAATCCGTCAGCTTAATATAACGCTGCATCATACATGCTACTGCAGGGCCTATAACCATACTCGTCCTGATCCTACGGCCCGACTGCAGTAGCGGGATATGGCCATGCAAGTGGCCCACGCCATGGCTTGATACCCGTTCATGACGAAAACTGAATCTCCAATCCGAGCGTTCGGAAGGGCTTGTCAAGCTTCCTCAGGTCGATCCCACTGCCCAAGCTGAACAGGAGCGATTTGACCCGTCCCTCCCACAGCACCCCTATTCGCATATTTTGGTCCAGACGGGTCTTGAGCACACCAGCGTATCTCTCCTCTCCAGGCTTCTCAAATTCTATCTCTTCCTTTGGTGGAGGAGGCGGCGGTGGTGGCTTGATGACAACTGGCTCGGGTTCATCCAGGCGCCATTCCAGCTTAGCCTGGAAGCTGCGCTCCTTCGGTCGTTTTTCCTCTGGTTTCTCTTCAAGAGCCACTTTATCTTCGACAACTGGTTCGTCTTCGATGACTGGTCGAGTAAATGGTTTCCGCCAGAGTTCCATACCAATGGCCCAAGCGCTTTCGTAGCTGAAGACATTGAACTCCATCCGCGTGGCAAGGCTGCAATGCCTGCCAGCCACAACAGCGTAGCTTGCGCTGATATTACCCATCAAGGGGTTGAGGGTCAGTGTCGCGGACAACGGCGTGCCCTTGTGTGCGGGTAACGTCGCGAATCGGGTTCCGACGCTGATTCCGCCCGACTTGTTCAACGTGCCGTAATAGACTTCTCCACCGGTGCTGAACCGGCCATATATCCTCTCCCTGTCGTTATCAACCGGAGCTTGGTCTGACGGCTTTTCGGCATCACCGCCGAAATTATATACGCCCCTGAATCCGAGCAATCCTCCGTCTGAGGACGCCAGTCCTTCGAGTGCGTACTTTCCCACGTCATATTGCGCCAGACCCAGGACCGTGCCACCGTTCTTAAGGTGGTGGGCAGATACAGCGCTGAGCTGGACCTGAAGCGCAGGTGTAAATCGCTTAACAACTAGGGCCTCGAGCAGGGCTTGGGGTAGGTAGAACCGGCCATATAGGAGAGACGAATCGGGCTTGTCCTGTGCTGTCTGGAGTAGAGGGTTGGTTCGGTGTGGTAGTTCGGTGAGGGGCTTATATGAACGTAGAAGCTCGGGTAGATTGACTGTTTCGGATTGTGGTGTCAAGAGAAGTCGAAGCGGGACGGATGAGAAGAGGTATGAGATAGAGCCATCGACAATACCAACTGAACCGAGCTGGTAAGATGTCGCAAAGTTGGGGCTCGCGAGAGAGGAGAGGGTAAGTCGCAAACCACGAGGGGTCTGGAAGTTTAGCAGAGCTGCAAATGTTGTATCAGTATAAAGGCCAAAGCTCCCAAGGACACCAGGGTCCTTACCATCACTGGTCACATTCAGAGCTGCGTATGAGTTGTCGCGATTCCATCCAGTAGCTTCGTAGAAGGCGCTGTGGACATAGTCCATAAACTCGCGCATGTCAAGATTTGTTTATCATGCCTCCCTTGAAGTGACAGCTTGTCACTCCGGAAGCAGAAGGTTTCAATTGCTTCAAATGGTTGGATGGAATGACGAAATGAAGTTGTTGGTCAAGCTGCTGGTCAACTTGAGGGCGGGAAAATGTCGGCTGTCGGGTTCCTACCCTGTACCTTCGACTCGCAACTACATATAATAGGCAAGAAGTATAGGATAATATTAGGAAAACTTTCTAACACTTTAGATTATCTTAGACCAGGTAGTACTAAGCTCTAATAATATTCATCAAAGTATAGGATTGCAATGAATAGGAATATGAAGTACGCAGCAGCTATTTGTTGTGTGATGCAACTCAACGTCTTCAACTTTTCTGACACCAAGACAAACCACAACTAGTTCACCCCAGACCCACGCAATACCATTCATATTAAGGACAAAAAAAGAAAAAGAGGAACACACAAACCAATTCAAAGCATCAGATGACTCGCCCAGGCACACCGGGTACTCAGCTCACTCACTCAGCTTTCTTTACGACAAACTGGTTAACAAACAATACGGGCATGTCATTGGCTAGAGATACAGTCACGTGTTTGAATGGAGCCATCGCGTGGTGCGGGCCGCGGGACGGGCGAGCTCCTGCCTCAACAACCTCGCGACGACTTCAACCAGATGTATCTGAACCACCACGAAAGCTACAGAAAAGCGACAAAAATACAATAGGAGAAAAAGCAAAAGGGAACTCCGGTGCGGGGAGTCGAACCCCGCTCGCCGCGGTGCTATTTCGAGTTATGAAACTGAAAACGCGGAATGATAAACCGATACACCACACCGGATGTGTTTTTGTTGAAGACTGCTTCCAGTAATTTGGTATAGATAGGCTACCAAGCGGGCCGCGCACTAGCGCCAGATCCACCACCATATGGGGCAGGTACCAAGCAACCCACTGGAAGCCAGCTGTAAAGGCAGTTGGACGATGGGAAAAAATGCCGAAGTTGAGATCTATGTAAAAGGCAAGTTGATTTTATCAAAGGCTGTGTACGGGAAGACCGATTTGCAATGGTACATGTATGTAAGGAAAGCACTATTGCCCTCCATATTCCACCTGCCCACCCGCCTTCCTTCCCCTTCAAGCCATCATGACATCCTCCCGGCTTTAGACAAGAGAACCATAAGATATGACCATAACAATAATAGTTTAAATAAAATCTTAGCATAACTGCTCTAAGACTTATACTAGTCGCATCCTAACTTTATCATACATGCCCGCTTTTCGGCTCTTTATGTGAAGTCATGAATCGTCTTGGGAACAGTATTGGAGGTACAGGAACATTCTTCTTATTATCTATCTTAACAATGAGTCATACTAAAGTACGGTTTAGTAGTGAGTAGGGAATATTCATCTCGCTGATGCCATTTTGGACCGCGTTTCTTTGCGGCAGCTCGCTGATGTCCATAGGGGCGGGAGGGCCGCATGCAAGTGCCCCGTCCAGCCTGTTCCATGTATATGTCCACCCAGTTAGGATCCGATTCGTGATGAAGATTAGCGGAAAATGTGGGATATTTTCTGATCACTGGGAGCGGATGTTGCAGCTCATTCTCTTCGGAGAAAACAACCGTGGCGTCCTCCAGGCTCCGGCGGCGATACAACTGTGCCCGATTCTCGTTCTGCCGCTTCTTCTTCGCAGCAGCTGATCCATAAAAGTCGTCGTCGTACCAGGCACCGGCATACTTCAACTCGCCATGGGCGATAGCGAGAGCTTGGGTATCGACACTGCCATCCTTCCACCAGTTACAATCAGCCTTAATTGCAACCAATTTCTGCTCAGAGGAGTTTCTGATACGACGGGCCAGAGTTGAGACAGTGGTACAAATTGGTAAAGAAATATTGAGTCGGGTACGATCCGAGCACATATTTCGCAAATGACACCGTCAAGTCCCTCGTCGAGGGCAAAACGTTGAGCGCGGTGTGAGAATTGCTTGAACCGTGAATGAGCGTCAGACTCTTGGTGGCGCCAGAGCTGATGGCTTTGCCATAGTTTCCTTTTGGCCTCATAGTCCATGGTATCGCCATCGACGCACAGCTGGTAGATGGACTGCTGTTGCGCTTTTGTGCCGAGGACGGGTTGTTCAGTCTCAACGTACAACCGGACTTCCATGGCAGCTTTAGCAGCTTTAACAGCGACTGCATAATCGAGTACAGACACACTACCTAAAACATCGACAATTTCGTTGGGGAATGTATCTACAGCTTGAACGGAATCCACTTCAGCGGCAAACTGGGTATGGGCGTTAGACTTAGGGATCTCTTCGTTGTCTTTGGCGAAATCTTGGTCTAGGTAAACTGGGCCCACAAGGACCGCGGCATCATCATCATATTCGTCATTGCTGATGTGTTGTTCGGCTTGTTCCAGTAGATGCGTGTTGAACTTATTGCACATGGATTCAAGGTCATGAGCCCTCTGTGCTATTTCGTCTGCTGTGGGAGTCTTGGTCTGAGCGGCACGAATGCCTCTTTGAAGGGGCCGCCTTCCGAGGATGCGATCGCAAGTTTACTACTTGGCCTGTGTAACCTGACCTAGATACACATGATCTGTTTCTATCAAGTACGTGAAGGAACAGGCTGTTCGACATTGCGTTTAGGTTTTGGATCTGTTCCTTTTTGAGTCGTGTAGTAGCTTAGTCGCTTCCTGAGCGCGATGTAGAACTGAACGATCTGGTCATTATTCAGAGATACAAGGCGTGGAAGTATCTTGTCTTCAAGAATATCAACTCAGATGTTCATTGAAAGGTAACACAGAGACCTACCGAGTGTCTCAGGATCCCAAGCGGTCTTTAGCTGATCCTGTGCATCCTGGCGAAACTTCTCGGCATTGTCGCCCGTGTTGACGCCCTGCTTGACGTTGGGCTGTTGCCGGTTGTTCTTGATGAAAGACTCAAAGATGCTGAAGAAGTCGTCATCGTCGACAAAGGGCTTGACAGCGACAGTGTCTCCATCAGCTTCGTTGTCACCATTATCGGCTGGTTGCATGAGAAGACCGTCAGCTCTGAGGCCCGACTTTCATGTCGCTAATTAACTCGGTTAGCTTGGCAACTTGATTTGGGAGCTTCGATCTACGACGTGGTAGGTGTAAGGGAAGAGGGCGAGAGGGCGAGAGGGGTGACTGTCTAGTCGCTGGGAGCCATGCTAAAGCCTGGAATATAGGTCACGCATCTCTAATCGACCCACTGACTCGTCAGTGTGGTGTTTCTAGTGGGCAAGACCGCCGTCTCTTCAACGCGAGGTTCGCTGTTCTCGCCTTGTTCCTCTTGACCGCTGCGAGACATTATGGACGCTGTGGTATTGAGCTAGAGCAAAGGCGAATGATTCGTTAACGAGAAGAAGCAATAAATAAGGAGAAGCAACTTACGGCTGTTGGAGAGTCTCGGGCAGCACAGCGAGAAGAGTCGGTAGATCCGCGATGAAGGCGAGAGAATGGAACTGCTTCTGTAAGGAGCAAAGGGATCCGTTAGCGAGGAAATGAACAATAAACAGAGGAAACTTACGGCGGATAGAAATCCTGTGATACTATGAAAAGAAGAGCCTTTCCAGGACGACGGGTCAATCTCCGGGAAATCTCAACCAAGTGTGACTTCATCTTCGACAGCTTCTCGACATCGTACTGAGCCCGGAAGACAATCCAGATGGTAAAGGTGATATCAACGGTCCAAAGCTTGTGACCGCTGGGCTATTTGACGTTCGTTTTGGTGACATGAGTATCACCAGCAAGGATGTGTCGAACAAGAGACTCCTTGGCCTCATGGTCCCAAAAACCTGAGCGCTCGTCCCAGAGTTTCTTCAGATGAGCTTGGAGAGCCTAGTTCGCGCCGGGAGTGAGTTGGTCTCTGGTGGAGAAGGAGTATATAGTATGATAGTTGAGGGAGATGTCGTGTAACAGGTAGTGTTGTGGGATTGGAGAGAGAGGGAGGCTAAATGGGAGAAGAGGAAGAGATTGGATTTTATTTGCTGCCCAGCCTGGTGTTGATTCCTGTTTGTTGCAGCCAGGCCAGGGAACACTGATTGGCACTGCCAGTAACACACAACTGCCACCTCATCTCCTACTCTATAAGAGAGCCCTAGCATTTGTCACTACTCTTATCACACTCTGCTCTAAACTTAGGCATTTCTTAGACCTTACTTTAGATCACCTACTCTAAACTTATCTTTACTTTAGGCAACCTGATATAAAGTCATCCTTACTTTATATATCCCAGTATAAATTTATTCCACTTCAGATAATATAATCTAAAATCATTCCCTCTTATCATAAACTATGTCTTTCGTCATCAGTCATCAAATATAACAAACACATTGGGCAACGATAATTGCTGACCAGGGAGATGTTATGGTTATAGCAATTATCATCTGGCAATCATGGGCTGTAGCAAATATCTCAAGCAAAAAGCAGTTCATCAGGAACTTCAAGTTTGTAATCATCTGTTACACTGAAGATTAGGGCAATTTGCCGAAGATAATTGTCATCAGTAACGTCCCCAGACAGAGTATCCTGATATATAAATTATCTGCGCAATGGACGGGGAACAGACTTCTCCGTACCAGCTCCTTTCCTTTACGTCAACCTGAGCAAGAGATTCTGCACAAAGACTTCTTTAACAGGTCAGGTGAGAGTGTTTGGCTCGAACAAGACCAGTGTGAAAACAGATTACAACGTTCCGCTCAAATCCTATCATTTGCCGATTATAACGGCAAACATCCCCAACAGGTGCCATTGGCAGCGACGATTGCTGATGATAGGCTCCGTAGCTGAAAAACATAGACGCTTCTTCTTTAGTTTCTTTGATCTTCCCTTTCATTATTATGCTCTCTCCTGAAGAACGCGGACTCATTATCTTCATCGGCAGCCGAGATTGTCACAGACTCTGCTTGTCCCCCTCCAACACACAACATTGACTTCACCTTACATTGTGTCAGAAACCAACACTATGTTAGTAATCAACGGCAATTTGTCTTTACACAAAGAGCACAAATGAACCGAGTTTGATATTTCTGACCCATACCAACAAACACCTGTACGAGATGCCGCTCTTCCTGGCGGTGGAATTCAGCTTCGCACCCACACCCAATACTCATCCCAAGCTCGAGAAGCTGAAAAGGCAGAGGATACTGCGCCTTAAGACTGGAGTGTTCAATCCTTAATCAAAATCCATATTATAGTTGTCCCATCGTGGCCGGTTGGAAGGGATTCATGTCATTCTGTACACTGTTGAGGATAACGTCAATGACTGACTCTGGGTACTTGTTTACCCTGTCCCTTGACATTGCTTACCACTTCAAATTATGCAATCCAAATCCTCAGACAGAAAGGCGAACATGATAAGTCCAGTTTGAAACAATTCTTACCTTGCACGGTCTGCGTGATTATAGGGGTCATGGCACACATCTGACCCAATCACAATGGAAAGTAATAAAGGGATTCTTGTTGACCGAAACGACCACAAGACAATCAATCGCTAGCGATCTTCCAGCCCTCTATAGAGAGAATATACTCACTAAATAATTAGCCAGTAATGACTCCTAGACTTTGACTCTCAGACTATTCACATCGGTCTAGTGATACATAGTGGTGATGCTAAAATCAGGTGATTCTGCAGCCACAACGGCTTGTCACAGCGCATGCAAAAGAATAGGAGATACTATCGAGTCAGGGCTAGCAACAAGTTTTCCAAACGGAGTTTTATGAAATGTTCATAAGACGAATATAGAATATGTTCAAGTACATGGCCCAACTCCAATCAAACAAAGCATCGTCCGCCCAAAAGCCAATAATCTACGGCA